ATATATATATATATATATATTGCTAGAACTAATACTTGAATAAATTAAAATATTGAATATTGTTGTCACCATCAGTAAATTTTTTTTCAGTATTTGATTAAAATTGTTTTTCAACTGATGATTTTGTGCATACTTTTTGAACATATTTTGTGCTGTTTCACGAAATTCGCAGTGGTATAATTTAAAAGTATTTTAAAAATATTTTTATTTTTTGAATTATGCAATTGAAACTTCTCTTAAATGGTAGCACAGCCAAGTTTTAAATATACCTCTAATCTTTTTGATGCTTTAATCCAATCATTTACTTCATTTCAAATTTTACACATTTATTCGATAAGTCGGACCCATTTGATTGGTGATATGCATTTGGACGCTTGCTCTCAGTAATTTGAGCTTTAATTGATCGCCGCCCACTTTCTTACTGTATTTCAATTCCTCCATTTAACTTAATTAGGAAGTTGTTTCAAGTGAATAATTTTTTATAATATTTGAGTATTATTTTTAAATGTTTCACTAAATGTATAAACATGTTTCTGAGAAAAAATTCAAAGATATTTCCAGTACGGAAAAATTTTCAAACCGTATTTATAGCTCATACCTTTAAAAGGTTGCATAAAGCGTGCTAACTACTGACCTTGTCAAAAGCATCATGTTTGGTGTCTTTGTCAGCACATTTTCACACGCTATCTTTTGGCAGTTATAAGAGGCATATCAGAAGAGTGGATATTAAAACAACAAGTATATAAATCTATATAAGTTTTGGATCAAATCAATATGCTCAATATACAGTACTCTGAGATCTTATATCGTTTTATTGATTTATTTATTCAACTTGCTGATTTAAAATCAATCAAGTTAAATTTCCCAGTCTTCTAGCATGCAGTTTAATCTATTATATTTGAAGATTTCTTTTTGGTTCCATAAACACTTAATGTCATTACTTATTTGCATTAAATAAAATTTATTTGTCATTACTTATTTGCATTAAATAAAATTTATTTCTTGATAATAGTAAATTTCTGATTTTTAAATTTTATTTTAATTTCAGATTTGTACATTATTCTATCTAAATGCTTGTATTTAATGCCTCATATAATGTTGAGAACGAACAAAGCGATTTTGGTACCAACAATATTATTAGTAAAGGTTTTTGGCGCTTATGTTCTCTATAATTGAACTAAATAACTACCATGAAAAATCTAACTAAAAATTTTGCTTCGAGTTTAGAAATATTTAGGGACGAATTTTTATTAATATAAATCTCTAAAAAACATTCAATTAAATATATTTTATTTTTCATTATGTAAATAATTCTAAATTTCATCTAAGATTATTCTAAAACAAATTTTGATCAATAATAATCTAAAAACACTTAATTATACTTTATTTTTCAATTATTTTTAAAATTTATTTTACTTTCAAAAAAGTGTTAGTTGTTTTTTTACATGCAGTACAAATAAAATGATAAAAATCAAAAAAATAATTAAAAGTAAAACTATATTAGTTTTCCAGTTTTTACCATAAAATTGACCTTTCCTAGAAAATTTTTTGATTAAATGAACTCGGGTAGTATTTGTACTAAATTTTTTGAAATTCTATTTTTTTGCATATAATTCAAATTCTAATCGAATAATTAGAAGAATTTTGTTTGAACTTTTTCTTAATAAGGATTTTTTAGAAAAAATAAAGTTTATTTTCTGATAAAAGAATTAATCTGAGAAAAAGCTACGCTTAACATAAGCGAATCAAATTTGTAACAGGGAATTGATATTTTCATTATGTCCTGTTACTCTGACTTCGTTAAAAACATTAGTCTAACAAAGTAGCAATTTGTAATGTAATTAAATCCCGTATATGAAATATTGGTCACTGGGGCTATTGATGAATGCTGGGTAGTTTGATGGGTTATATTGGCTAACAATAATATTCTCTTGGTTTCTCTCTTATGAAATTTATCTTGTTATTTGATAATCTCTTTAATATAATTTTAAAATAGCATTTCTGTAGCAATTATTTCTGTATAATTTATTGGCTCGTAATTTCTGAATCAAGCAAAGATTTATTTGATCCATTGCTGAAATGTGTTTGAAAATATTTTCCAGCAAATTTTCATAATTTTTGGATCAAGTGATGTTTGATTTTTTTAGGAGTCAACTACCTATGCCTCATCAGTTAAGAAGAGTTAATCAGAATAATCAAAATAGGATTGATAATGAAAATGGCACTGATATAAAAACTAAAACAACATATCTTGGCATTTCACAACCTATTTCAATTTCTGGACCTGATGAAACTGATATCGTTTTATCAAAAAAAGTACATTCCTGCATGAATAAACAATAGACAATAAAAATGATCTATAAGCATTATGTTTTGTTATTCATAAAATTACACAGTGTGTCAGCTTTTCATATCTTATAGCTTGATGAATATCTGCAAGCTAATGGCTACTTTGAAACAGAGGAAGAAATGAACCTGAGGCTTAAAGTTCTCTGCAAAATCAATGCATATGTGAAGAAATGGGTTCAGTTAGTTTCAAGACGGAGGGTTTGTTCTTTTTTGCTTATAAAATAGTGTGTTTATGTAAGATCGACCTTGTAACATTTTTCAGTTAGTTTTGGTCCTTTCTTTTTGATGGTTCTTTATTCTCTACTACATTGCTTTCTTTAGTATGCTGATAAAGTATTTTGGTTGTTTAAATACAAAAATTGGAAAATATTTCAAATTTACTATATATTAAAAGCAACAAAAGTTAAAAAATAATATATTTGCAGCAAATGCCTGAGTCAGAAATCCAACAAGTCGGTGGAAAATTATTCACGTTTGGATCTTATCGTCTTAATGTTCACACAAGAGGTTTGTGATTTTATTTTATTAGATTGTCTCATAACTTCTTTATCGCTTCAATATATTACATTCTATTCTTTAATGATTCTATCACTATGTCTGTTCAGAAGCATTAACTTAAAAATGTCTTTCAAAATATTGAGATTTCATTATAAATCATGTGAGTTATTTAGGAGCTGATATTGACTCTCTTTGTGTAGCACCCAGGCATGTAAACCGCAATGATTTCTTCACAAGCTTCTATGAAATGCTTGCAGAGGTAAAATGGTCTTTGTTACTCATAAAATCTTATTTCCAAATATATCTTTACCAAAAATATAAAAACATAGTTTAGAAATGTAGCCAGTGATTTCCAAAGTTTTCAGTGCAAAAATATTCATATTTACAATTTATAGGACCCAAATGTGGCAGAGTTGCGTCAAGTACAGGAAGCTTTTGTGCCAGTCATAAAGCTTAAATATTATGGAATTGAAATGGATATGTTATTTGCCCGACTGGCTTTACCAAGAGTCCCAGAAGAGCAGCAATTAAATGACGATTTTATATTAAAAAATTTGGATGAAAAAAGTGTGCGATCTTTAAATGGTCAGTTAATTTTTTTAAAAGCTAATTGCTAGAAAAATTTTTCTGAATCAAAGTAGTTAATCTTCATGAATTTTTTGTAAAAGAAATTCGGAATTTTTTTTTAATTGGCTGTTACAGGATGCAGGGTAGCCGATGAAATATTAAAATTAGTACCAAATGTATCCACGTTCACTTATGCCCTGCGGGCAATCAAACTTTGGGCGAGAAGTATGTTTTATGACATGCCTTTACATTGTTACTACTATATATAAAAACTTCGTACTCAGTACTTACTTTGTTCAGACCATGGCATTTACTCCAATGTACTTGGATATCTTGGCGGTGTTTCATGGGCAATCCTAGTTGCTCGGACGTGTCAGTTATATCCGAATGCGGGACCCGCAACTCTTGTTCAAAAATTTTTCCTTCTGTATACTCAGTGGTATAGTTTAATCCCACCATTATAAATGAATTTAATCACGTAAAAATTCTATTAGTTGTAAGACAACAATCTTTTCACGAAAAATCTCATTCATATATATTTTTAAATTTTTAAGGGAATGGCCTAATCCAGTAGTTCTCAAAGATACTGAAGTGTTATATGCCCGAGAAATGCCATCATTACAAGAGCTTGTATTTGATCCGCGATCAAGGCCTGGAGATAGGTTAGTTTTACTTTTATATTTTTTTATTTGTGTTTTTCCTCCTGTAATGAGAGTACGATTGTTTACAGGTTCCATCTAATGCCTATTGTAACTCCTGCATTCCCACAACAAAATTCAACATTTAACGTGACTAAATCATCGCTGAAAATCATTACGAATGAAATTGAAGAAGGTCGATTATATTTTTCATTATTTATTTTGCTTTTCACTTTTATTAGTATTTGTACTCCATATATTAAACCTAATTCTTTATATGGTAGAATGAAATTTTAGTGAGTTTTTTCAGCTATTTTTCCATTTTTTATTCACCCTTTTACTACATTTAGGTCTGTTAATCACTGATAGCATTTTCAATGGCAAAGCTGACTGGTCCGCTTTATTCGAAGAAGTTAATTTCTTTACTCGATATAGACATTATCTTGCACTACTTTGTGTATCAGCATCTGAGGTAATTAATGAATAGGTTTTTCTTCTGTATTTGTAGCAGAAGTTGTTGAAGCAGTAGAAATCATAAAAATTTAAGCAAATAATTTTATGCGAATTCCCTTATAGTTTTTGAAATTTAGCAGGATGAATTAGTGTGGTGTGGACTTGTTGAATCCAAGATTCGACTTTTGGTTGCAAGTTTAGATCGACGCAAAAGTGTAAAAGTTTGCCATGTTCACACGAAACACTATCAACCACGAAATGATCCTTTTCCTGTTCATATCCCCTTATCGTAAGTGAATTGAATAATTTTTTTATGATAGTGTACATCGAAATCTTATTTTTGCTACTTTTTGCTTTTTTTAGACTTTTTGTAAGTAGAAAAAAATCTTGAAATGTTTTTTAAATTCCAGGAATCCACGCTGCCGAGTATGGTTTGTCGGTCTGGATTTTAATAAAGCCGTTAGTCGGAAAATTGATATTCAACATGAAATTCAAAGTTTTCTGGATCTTTTGAATAACTTAGCCACCACTCAAAACATATATGTAGAGGGAATGAGTGTATGTTACTCTTGTTTTTGTTTTTGTTTTGACTTATGTAAGATATCTGTATCCGTAATTAAATTTTTGACTGATAGGTAGATACACTGCTTTCATCGTTTGGCAAAAAGATGAAAAATTCTCTAAATTAATCCTTTCAGTTAATACCTCATTATCTTCGAAAAGTGGAACTTGGTAGATGGTTAAATGTTGATGATTTAACAAGAGGACGAAATGCAATGAAAAGGAAATGTCTTGCAGTGAGCGATAATCAAAATATCGCTGTTGCTCTTGCAAATAAGGCAAGGAGTGAGCCCTCAAGTTTCTCTTCTTTGCATTCATTAGTAAGTTAATAATAACTCATTGCAACTTATTATAGAAAGTAATATTGACTAGAAGGTCTAACTAAATTTAAATTGTTTTTTTGAAATCTGAAAGTAATTGGAAGAATAAGACATTAGACATAATAAATTGCTTCAGGAAAGTGCTTCACCCTCAACGTCATCATCTGGAACGGAAACTAAAAAAGTTGAAAATCTTTCAGTTGCATCGTCTTCTGGCAATTTATTATTAAGTTAGTTTTGTATTCAATATTATTGCTTCAGACTTTTTGTTTCATATTTGTTGTTTGGAATTTCTATCTGTATTAAAATCAATTTTGTAATTGAAACTTATTTGTATACACTATATATTTCAGGTGGTGATGAGCAGATACGCGTTGCATCTTTTCAGTTAGGTGAGGACCAAATTCATCACAGAAAACGTCGAGCGGAGATGTCTGTTGATGATGAATGTGAATCTGCGCACATCAAACTTAGTCCTTCTCCTAGCAGCAATGTTTTGTCATCAGATACTAAAGAAGTTGAATCTGAAAGAGGAAGTCAGAATACTTCGGCAAGTTTTAGTATCTGAAATTTTTTTGTTCCAATTTAATTAGTGCGTTCAGTTCTTCGATTCTCTAGTGTATCAAGTTCTTACAAATTTTAACTCAGAAAATGGAAATTTTACCTTTGTTCTCATGATTACTGCTTTTGTAATGAATAACTTTTTGTCTCTCAGGGTTTTAGTAGTGCTAGAAGATGAATCTCTTCTACGACAGCTGCTGGTGCAAGCAGTATTCAATTATATTGTGGTTTAATTTAATTTTTAATTTAGTCCATTAAGTGATTCCTTTAATGCCATGTACATTTTGTGAAGTCAGATGATGCATTCGCTGTATATTTCTGGTTAAAATTGTGATTACATAAAATTCAGGTTGATGTGGATGATCTGATTTGATGTACTTCAGTTAGAGAAAAAAACAATTCGAAAAGTATTTTAGTTGAAACAAAAACTAGCAATTAGTGTTTTTTTGTCACAAATGTTTTTTTATTTCATTATTATTATAGTATGATCTCAAATATATGTGCACTTTGTAGTTTGTATAGATGCAACAGATGAAGGAGAGTTGTTATATTTTTTTACTGGTTATAATTTAATTCTCGAATAGGTAATTTGATAATTTATCTCTTCCTGTTTCTTATACTTTTGTTTTTATTGCTCATTTTTACAGTCTTTACTGTTATAGGTGCGATCTTTATGCTTTGCATAAATTTATTAAATTTCTGTGAAAGAATTTGTTTTATGCATTTGAAATTGTTTTAAGTGTATATTGTGAAAATCGATGATTTTCTCTGTTATGTTCTTTTTTCTCACCTGAAGACTTCAATTATATGGTTGTATCATCTATGTAAATATGAAATCTATTTTCAGGTTAGAAGAATATATTTTACTATTAGAGAAAAGTAATATGGTCCTATTATTTTAATTTATTTCATAAACTTTTGAAGATTGTAAAATGTAAGTAGGACGCTAAAATTATTTTTTCAATCTTCAAATACTTATTGTCTTTCAAAGTGATCAAGTAAGCATTTCAACCTCATTGATATTAATGTTTCATTGCATACATTTTTGTTGTGATTCATGAAATGAAATTTGGCTGATAAAGACTCAATTTTTTAATATCAGCCGCTAATATATGTACCTTCTTTTAAAGTCTATTGTAATGATTTGTCGGAATGTTTTCGTTGGTAATAAAGTACTGAATATTAGATATGCTGTTGCTTTTGAACACTTGGTTTATGCTATAGAATCTTTCGTGTGGCATTTATATTCGATCTAGTTATCGAGTTTTCACATTTTGTGCCATAATCTGCAGAAATTTCTACAAAATGAGGTTGAAGTTACCTTCCATTCACGGAAATGTTTGGAATCGATAGAACGAAAAGTGATAAATACAGATGAATTTTGCCTAGGTAGAAGTTAGTACTCGCTGCTGAAGTTGTGTAGTTAGAGAATTAATGAGGGTATATTCTAAGTCATTGCTGACAGGTTTCTAATTGTTTAGTGCAATTTAAGATTGAGATTTAAATATTTTATGGAAATGCCAGAAAACTGTTCCGGGAGTTGATTCATAACATCTAATCTTGTTGTGTTATTTCGGGTGCCGAATGAAAGTATAAATTGGGATCGTGTTTTTGCATGATGGTTTGATCGGGCCATCGTTTAATATGTGATTTGGATGATCTGCTAACTTGCATTGTTGACAAAATAAGCATTGTATTTTTATTGATGGATCACAGCAGTTTACATATGACTAAATTTGGAACAGAAATACAATTATAAAACATTAATAATCTTTTAGGAAACTACAGATTAAGAAGCTAAAATAAAAAATTATTATTTTTCTGAAATGAAGAAATCTTGCAAGTAAATTGATTGCTGTGTTTTTGATTTAGATCGTAGAACCCATTAAGTTTGTAATTTTATGAAGTGATTTGATAGATTATATTATTAATGATGATTTTCATTGACTATCAACATATTGTATCAAAGTAACTGTATTATGGTTGCTTGTATTTTGGAGTCTTTTATTTAAAGGTTTGTGAGGAAGTTATTTGAATTTCTGTAACAACAATGCAACGGAATGATTTTTCAATCCCAAGAAAAATGTTACAGCAAACAGGTATTATTAATATATACGTATAGGAAATCAAGTACATTCCTTGCTTTGATCAATACAAATCGTAGTGCGTGATCAGTAAATATTTAGTGTTGTATTTGATATTTTTTTAAAGATATTGGAGCATAAAAGGAGTTTGGATCGCTTTTTTTTACTATATTGAATAATATTTTAATATTTCACTACAAATTTCCGAGTATAAAATTAATATAAATGGCTTATAAATAAGATAAAGATTGCATACGTATTTTATATTAAAATTTAGTTTTAAATTGAGTTGAATTCAGTTTTCTTTCATTTTTATTTTCTAGAAAAACGATTTATAGATAAAGGATGTTCCTGTGCGCATTGATTAAAAAGTTTTTCAAGTTAAAAAAGGAAATAAATTTTAGACTTCGTGTCTGGTATATTTATTTATCAATTTATCATGAGGTACAATTTTTTTTCAATGTTTATAGTGGCTAAGAAGCAGTCGGATTGTTATACAAACGATCTCAATTTGAATACCGAATCGTTTCAAAATGTTTATCAGCGAGCTATATTCTCACATTTATCCAGTAGTTGCCAAGATCGAGATTTAATTCGAATTCTCCGATGCCGAGTTATAAAAAATGAGATTTTGGAAACACGGGTGTTGATTTTATTTTTTATCATGAAAGAAGCATGCTTTAATTTTACGATAAAATAACTTTTGAAAGAGTGAGTAAAGCACAAGATTAGAATGAGGATTTTTTCTCGAAAGCTAGCAAGTATTAGATTTGATAAAGATATTTTTGTATATTTTTTAGTAATAATTTTGCATATTTTTGTGGTAACTCGACAGAAGTATAAAAATTGCTTTACTTTACGATTTCAGTATCACAGTAATTTTTTGTTTTAGTTCTTAAAATTTCGGCAACATTTGAAATCTCTGGAATTACCTTCTGATGTGTCATTTGGATACATTCTTCTTTCTGATAACTCTAGAGAAGTAGTATATTTATTTTTTTCTGTTATTCAACCTTTTTTAAAGCCATATTGGCATATTTGAATAAAATTATTTATTTATTTTTTGGTTATTGTACAGGCGCCACGCATTCTTTTAATTTAGATGCATCTTCATAAACTTTGAATCTTTTCGCCATCATTCAAAATTAAAAAATTTATTCATAACAACTTTAATGAGATACGAGTTTTAATAGTATAAAAATTTTTCAGCTGGAATTGATATCGCAATATGGCGTATCTGTTCACAACAATTTCGTTGGCGATTTAGGTGAACCGTCATATGGTTGGTTTACCTTTAGAAAATTAAAAAAAAAAAGAAACAACAGTCTGAGTCTGTATAGACTTATTTAATCGGGGTTTCAATGTGTTTCATTGTTTTTAATTTTAGATAATTTTTAATTTAAATTGTTGTTTTGGTAGAAAAGTTTAAGTTAACAATGTAAGTATCAGAGCACCTTAGACATTTAAATTATTTACTCTATTATACTTATTTTCTTAGGTGTATATTTATCAGAAAATCCTGATTTGGTTACTCCAGCTCCATTTATTGGGCGAATTAAATTGAGAATTTTGGTTTGCCAGGTAAAATCATTTTTTTAAAATCATTTTCACAATTACATGCTTTTAATTATTTAAAAATAATAAATTAAACAAAACGTGCAAACTACAGATTTTGAAAGGAAAATGCAATATTGTTGGATTAGGTTCTTACCATTTAATGCCTACTAAAGGATGCCAATCACATGCAGCTGTTCAGCCACTAGATTGTAAATTAACCCGGCATGATAATTATCGATACCATCAGGTTTTTTATTGCTTCTAATTCTTATTTTCTCATGCCACCTTAATTTATTCAAAAAAAAAAAAGAAGAAGGGATTTTTTTTGTATTTATTTACCTGAATAACTGTTTTCTAGTTATTTTTATTCGAAGAAAATGAAGAAAAATATATGAAATCTCCGGCAAACGTTTTACCTTATGCTGCATATGAAGTGGAGTTTGCCCAAAACACGTAAGCCTTTTTCGATCTTTCCTATGAATTAATTTCTATTCACTTTGTATATCGTTTGAATAAATGAATTACTTCTATTACAAAAAATAATATCAAAAAATGGAAAAGTTTCATTCATAATGTTTTTCTTGTAGCTTTACTTCTAAGAATGCTATTGAAATTATATAGGAAATGCATTATTTTAACAGAGTATCTGAATTATTAATTCAACTAAATTTGCAGTGTCCTATCATTCAAGGCACTGGATTGTACAGTTTGGAGTGGTAGTTTATTGATCGGAAATAGACGCTATGACCGCATTTCACTGAATTCATTAGCATCAGCTGCCAAACCTCCTCTTCTGTTAGTGTTCATTACTAATCTTTTTATATCAACAAAAATTAACAAAGATTATGTTAATTAGGCTTTTCTCGATAACATGATGGAATAATTTTTGTCTGTGATTCATTTATTTCTTTTATCATGTCTATCAAAAAATAGCCATTTTAGAGATACGTTTCAAATCACTGATCTTATTCCTTGGACCGCATGTCTGGCTTTTCCGCCGATTCTCGAGTTATTAAAACCACCAACTCTCGGAGAAATTGGTTTAAAAAAAGAGGCTAGTTCAGTTTGTATTTTTTAACTTTTAATGGAAAAATTATCATATCTTTCTACAAATAATCATTTAGGTACTTCTAAATGATACGAAGCGTCGAGTATATTATTTCACACTGTTTTCCGAAGATGATTCTCAAGATATTGTTTTGCTTCATGAATCTATGAGGATAAGACGAGCTGTGAGTACTTGCTAGCACGTATAATTTTTATTGTTATTGTTTTAGAGCGATTATAAAAGCAGCTACCAATTTTAGCCACCAATTTTTTAATGGCAGTTTTTCATTAATATTTTGTTTCATCAAGTAACAAACTTTGTTTCTTCATACGTAGGGAAATCTCCTCGATTTTTCAGTTAGGAGTAACCATCTTTCCATCTATTGGAATATTTATTCTTATACCCAATGGATTATTTAGTGATTTGCTGTCGATCCCGAAAAAAAGTGGCAATATTTTTCATTGTTTATATTTTACTTCCAGTCTGGATTTTTCGTTAATACATGGCGCATTTGATACTATGTCAATTGAAGAAAAGTAATCGAATTTTATTTTTTTCAGCAATTGTAGGTCTTTTTTTCTGGCGTCATCTTTATATCAAGAAGTAACGAGAATATATGTCGAGACTGAATAATAATTAGAAATCAGAAATTTTCTTTTTTATTAAAAGTAAACGCTGTGCTTTATAGTGATGAATTCTTACGGCCGCTTCTGCTTCAAGAGCGAGTTGATGGCCTTGATGCTCGAGTTCAAGAGTTGGTTCGAAATGTAGCTAAGAAAGTGCTGATCTCGGAAGAAAATGTTACTAAGAAGTTAATAATTCAAAGAGATATTCTAAATACAGCTCCTGGTTTGCATTTTTTGCTCTCAGTTCTGTGTGATTTTCCTGTTATCACTGATCATTTTGTGTTAATCTTTTATTAAAAAATATTTATTTAGTTGATATGGATATAGATGACAGTGACAATGAAAATGAAAAATTAAAATGGCAACATGAACAGGTGAATGATATTTTATCTCTCACAAAATTTATGAAAAAAAGTGTGGGTATTAAAAATTTTTAGTGCACCTTGTTGTCACATGAAATGAGAGTTAATTTTTCTTTTTTAACTATTTTAATTTATATAGCAGAGATGTTAAACATTTGTAATCTTTTCATATCTTTTAGAATCATTAAGTTCTTAGTTACATTTTTTAAAGGTCGAATTAAGTTACAAAACATATGAAAGATTATTTTGATTATCCTTATGTGCTTGATCAAGTAATGTTTCAGCACTCATCAGATTTAAGTTTTGAATCAAGTACATCAAGCTCATTCAACAAGATGCTTTCAAAAGTTAAGTCTTGTGATCCTCGACGTGAGAAATTGTTACATAGCCGAGATCCGAGAAAGCGTCCTTTCAGTCATCTAAAATCACCGACTTTGTCTTGCAGTGCCGAGAAAAGAAAGTATTCGAACTGGAGCTCAGTTCAAACAAATTCAGATACAGAAAAGAAGGTTGGAATAAAAATTTGTAGCGTGCAATTTTTCGGTTTCAGTATATTAAATAAATTTATAGCAAATAAATAATATTTTAGGTATTTCTAAGAGTAGAATAATTTCTTTAAAAAATATTGATCAGGTTTCGTTAAAAAGTTGGTATGATAGAACTGATTTTCCGGTGGGTTTAAAATTTCAGTTTGCATCCATGTCATCTGATTTATGTTCAACAGAATATCGTAACCATTCACCATCAGACCTTTTATTTGATGGAAATTCTTCACCAAAAACTACCTCACAAGTCCAGCAATCTCTAGAATCAGTTTCTTCAAATTTATGTGCAAGTTCTTTTTTTTTGAAACCAAATTATGGACTGCAAACCATTCTCAACCTTATGATTGATTAAAAAGGCTTGTTTTGTGCTAGTACCATGTGCATGAAATAACTGATGTTACAGGATGACCGGTGTATACTATCCTATGGAAAATCTGTATTAAATGAAAGGTAAATGGTTATTATAAGATCAGTTTTGACTCGGATTTTGTAAACAAATCACTGAAAATGTGATCTGGACAAATTATATGTAGCCTATCAGTTTCCAGTGCGCATAATGATACTGATTCACCTGCAAGCCCTCCTCAAGAATCCGGAGTATTTGTTGCTACAGCACCGAAGATCATCTCTGATCATGACATTCGGTCTGTTGCCGATTCTTCATTTCATATGCCGGTTCCGCAGTATCGGGTACATTTAATTGATTCTTTTTTTAACTTCACTTCAAAGTCAGTTGGTAAATCTAGTATAATAATTTTCATATATTAAGTAAGATGATGTTATCTTCGCGTTTAGTACGCAAAAATCGCATCATTTTAATAATAATGTAATTTTTGTTCTTTGAAGAAACCGTATTTTATCCTTTTACAGCTTGAAAAATTCAATTTTATTTATTTCAGCCTCCCGAAGTTACACCATTTACAGCTTTAACATCGACAGAAGCATTGAAAAACTCCATATCTTTGGTAAAAAATTATCATTTTTTGTTTTTTCTTCAGTCTTTATATTATTTCTTCTGCTCTTTCATTATAAATCTATCATGTTGTATTTGTTTTATTTAAGACCAATAAGCAGCATAGAAGTGAAGTGGAAAAAACACCTATTACCACTTTTATCGATAGTGAAAAACCAGAAGAGTCCATGTAAGGATATTTCAAATGATTTTCAAAGTTGATTTGTTTTAAGTAGTAATTACTCCTTTTGTTTTCATTTTTTTAGTTTTCATTAAATTGTATTCAAAAGAAGAAATTATATTTCGAAGAACTGGCATTTTGAATTGGAATTTAAACTGAGATTCAACCAACTACTAAGTATAACTAATTAATCTAACTTTATATGAATATAAAGTTTCCAGGTTACTCTTACCAGAGTTGATTTCTTTTCCAAGCAGTATTAAGAACAATATTGCTGTTGGCAGAGAAATGGTTGGTTTTTGTTTGAAAATTTTTTGCCATTCTTGTTGTATGTGAAGAATGTGAAGTATTCTAGAAAAATTAGGTCGCATTCATATAATTCATAGTCTTCTTTCTCTAGACTCGTAGTAAAACTATTGCTTATTCATGCCTTTAATTGTAGGCTTCCTCAATCCAGTCTCCAGAACATTTGCGATGGAATTTATTTCCTCACATAAAGATCGATGATAAAGATACGTCGCTACGGATACCTGAAACAGATTCATCCAATACTGGTGATGTTGACATGCGTACAATGCATAGAAACTCATTTGTTCAAGATGTCTCACATGATGTAAAATATTTCATTCAGTAGAATGTTATAGGAGTTTAATTCTTATTTAGTTTTAATTACAGAGCGAAAACACTTCGAAATATGCATGCAAAATTCGAAAATATTTTTTCAGGCCTCGTCGTCAACAGCAGCTTCTAGTGTTCCTGTTATGAAAAGACCCATTGTACTATCTAATGGTGATACCGATCACCGTATAATTTCTCCATCTATTCGACCTTCCACTTCTACGCAACAACCCCCTTCTGGGAATCTTGCAGAAAAAACTATCAGACTATCTCACGACCATTCATTTTCACCATTAACAACTTTTCCTTCTGTTAGACCTCCTGTGTATCGTGATGTTCCTTCAACGTAAATTACACTTTAATATTTGAAGACTTCCCTTTCATTTTCAAACTGTATAAAAATATTTGAAAAAAAAGGAAAAGCACACTGCAGTAAAAAAACTTATCGTAAAACTTGTGTGTAACACGCTTCTATCTTAATTTCAGGAGTCATAGCACTGGATTTAATCAGCCTCGAACATATGGGTTTTTCAATCAACCTGCTGTTAGTTGCCAGGCAAAGCCATATTTCAAAAGAAGTGTAAGTATTTTATGCAAAACTTGATTATTTTCCATGGAGTTATAGACGTTTTGGTTGCTTTTATTTATTCCTCCTAAATATTTGGTAGATGCACTTTCATTTTCTGTTCTTAAATTGTTTATTGAAATTTTCAAGATCACAAATAACAACTATCTATCAAGGCCACAAAGGCGGGGAGTGTTTGTAATTGATAGTGCGCTACTAACGATTGGTTCTTTGTATGTATTTGTTTCCAACTTGAAGTTTTTAACAGAATTGAAATCTTTATCCGTATTTTTTGTTTATTTGATCTGGAAATTTGAGCTTTAATTCACAGTATACATTTTAATTGCACTTCACAGAGAACCAGAGTTTTTCCGTCTAGTCTTAGACCGTTTCTTATATTGGAAGAAAAATGGCTCTATTTCTTGGTTGGTGAAACTTCATACACATGTGAGGCAAGCATTATCATCTAGTGGGTAAGGATTTCTTTCTGCCGATAGTACAAACATCAATCATTAGTATAAATTAGATACGTTTTTTTCGGTTCTTTTGTTTCCCATTTTCAGATTTGTCTGGGACGATTTGCTCTAGACTTTGTAACATAAACTGCAATCATTTTGTAACAGTTATTTCAACGTTAATGCTTATTAATTATATATCCTTTTTTTTTAACTTTTTGTCTCCAGTGTTAGAACCAAACTAATGTGTGGGACGTATAAGAAACAAAACCGTGAAGTATTGAAATTAAAGATTATCTTTTAAGACTTGCATCCAGCTCAAATCCAAAACTTGGGGAAAGATATATTCGTTATGAAGAAATAATAGCCGAATATGAAAACCATAAAATACTACAAACAATGAAACCACATGAATGCGATAAAAAAACGTATGATATGAATATGGTGCTCAAATGTTTAACTCACATCGCAAACACGAGTAAAAAGTATTCCATGATTTATTTGACCGGTTCGTCGTTTTTTTAAAAAAGAATTTTTATGAATTGCCATTTTACTAACTTAATCACTAATTTTATCATTTACAAGCAAGTAATGTATTCAAGATTCAGAGGTTCAGAAATCTTCAACTAAATTTTATGCTTCAAGTGCATGATTTTTTTAAAATTCCAGATGTCATCAAAGATTCACCCATTGGTCAACAAATAACGTGCTTGGGTTTTGAAGTATGCTGCTCATCAGATTTGCGGAAAAAGTTCAGTCTTTCATAGATCTATTGTAATGGTACCCTTTCATTTAAAAAAATCTACATAAACTTATTTTAATAAGCGAAAAGTATGGGAATGATTTTTCTTCTTCAATTAGAAAAACATTTTATTTTATTTTCGCAAACCCATTACCACCCGTGTAATCTGGTAGCTGTTCGCTTTATTTTCATTTTATTTAGTATTATAATTATATGAATTTTTTTAAGCGACAACTTGCGCCGTGATTCAATAAAACATGTTTAAATTAAAATTTTGCTAATTAGGAATGTGTTAGTGTGGACGTATCTGTGGAATGTAATGGTCTGTTCTAATCCATATTATTCATTTGAAATGAAATAGATGAGAGTTATTCCATATAATGTTCTGTAAAAATTTATTTTTGTGATATTTCGTTTCCATTAAGCACTTGTGTTGTCGAATTTTTTGTTTGCTTCGTTTCGCATTTTCTATAATATTGCCTCACTAAGTAATTTTGTATTAAAAATTTGTCATAATTTTATTGCCAAAATGTTTTCATTTTGAATAAATTTGCGAAAATGTTTTAATATTTCATAAATTTGTCTTCAATTTCTTTATTATTTGAAGATTTGTGATTTAATCCGCCAACGTTCGCTGCAGTGTCATTAAATGTTGTGGAAAAAATATTGTTGAATAAATCAATCTAAAAGTCTACTAATTTATGATTATTACTGAAACTGATTTCTTCAATTCGTATTCTCTTCAGTACAGTATCGGCCTTGTTGGAACAATCCATTATAAATTTTCGTTCAGAATCTCAAGTGAGAACGATGAACTGTAGTATTTTTAAATTATTTTTTACCAACAAGTGCGCTATCATCTGTGGAATGAAAATACAGTCATATTACAACACTCTGATATGAACAAGAAATCGGTCATGATTGGGATTCAGCTTTTCTTACAAAGTAGGCGTGGGGCTACTTTTGTTCATCTGTGGACATTCAGATTTTTCGCTGACATAGAAATTTTCAGAATTTATTAAATGGAAATACGTATACAAGATTTATTTTCTTTACAATTAATACTGTAAAATATTTCTGCGTGATTATCTGCCAAAACAATACGCTTATAGCAGCTAAACGTTTCGAGCTTTTCATATTAAGTAGTATTGTAGGAGCAATTATTGTTACCATATTTTTTGCATATTTAAGTATCATTCATTATCTTGAATTGTATGCTAATTTTTTGCAGATGAAAATGGGCTACTTAAAAGCTGAACTGATTGTAAGAAGATAGTCTACAAGGTTGGGAAGACCTCGAGATGCCAGCAGCAATTCCTCTAGCTACAATGATCTTTACAGTATGTCACATAATAGGAACAACACCTTACACGGACTCCAGTTGTTTGAAATATTTTTACGATTGTGCAGATTTCATAGCAGACGGACCTGTTGAAAACATAAGGAACAAGCATTTTTGCGAAGCTATTACGATTAGTCTCGATTGCCTAGCAAATGAAGTAATAATTGTTTAA